TGCAAGCAACAAAAGCTGTGGTGTTCAAATGCAGCAGAATTCAGCAGCTTTACTGTGAAGTCAGTATAAAGTCAGCAGCCATGTATACATACTAACTGAAGCAGATTTCTGCTTTAACTAGATCTTTTTTTCTACTTTTACTCCCCACCCCCCCCCGCCCAGTTCCTGAGCAGAGGTCAGAGATGGCTCTCACTGACTTCACTCTACAAAATCAAACTCCTTCTTCTCCAGTTGTATATGGAGAAATGGGCAGCGGTTGCAGGAAGGAACACAACAGATGAATTCTTGTGTAGCTGAACTGAAAAAATGGAAGACATACACAGCTGTTCTTTTGCTGGACAAGGCTTGGGAACACGTGAAACAACAACTGCACATTGTTAGATTTCATCATCCTAATAAATATAGTCAGATTTGTGCCTCTGCTGTGAGAATTGCCTCTTTGTGCAATTTTAAGTTAATTCATTTCTACTGAGCATTTCACCCCAGTTGCAAGCCCATTTCCTCCTTGGTTGTCCCCTATGCAAATTGATGGCCATTTAATGAAAGGCGTAGTGATACTGAGAGCACTGTACAGGCTTTGATCTTTTTTCTTTTTTTTGAACCAGCTTCTTTACTTTTGTCTCTGATATTACAGCAGAAACATGCTTATTTCTTTTTCAAATTTGACTAGTACAGTATTAAGAGTATGTATCGTTTATGTAGAAATCTCATGTGTTAGCTGATTTTAATTAAAATTTCTTTACAGAAGGTACAGGGCGGTGTCTAATTTTAGGAGCGTTTGACTGTTTATTTGCATTGCGAGGAGTATCAGGGAGTAAGTTTGTAGAACTACAATGGGAGCCAAAACCTACTTGTGTTCAAAAGACAGCTGGTGTAGTCTGTTTTCAAGTCTTCCTCTGACTGGTTGCTTTTCTGTTTCTGTGACAACATAAAAACAAGTAGTTTTTTAATATATTACTCATCATTTTTTATTTATTTTTGAAGGGATTAATTCAGTCAGCTCGGTACAAGGTGCTTTTTCAACTTGCTTTGTGATTGCTAGTCACAACATGAAACTCATGGGCTAAGTCACCTACTATTTCTGCTCCCCAGCTGGGTGACAGGCTTTCGTAACATGAGAGGAAGCACTGAGAGTACATGGTGCAGACACTTGCCCAGGCATAAGCTGGTATGGATGTTCACAAAATTGTCTTTCCATGAAAATTTTAAGACAAAACTTACTTGTATACCAGTATACTGAAGGTAAAGAGATGATTCCTTCAGTTCAATTTTTCACTATTTTTGGCAAAACGCAGAATAAACAATTGCTCATATCTCCTCAATGTTTGCACTTCAGCAAATTCCATATGTGTAAGGAAATCCAGTGAAGCCACAGGAATCTTCGATTTCTGTTCATTTTTTAAAATGAATGTTTTATATTCATTGTTTGTGTTTCTGTTCTCAAATACAAAGGCATATGATTGAGTAGCAAGGGGAGTCTTTTTTTTTTTTGTGCTAATTTTGCCATTATAACAGGTATTCATGTTGCAATTTCTCATTCAGTGAACTATGTCAGTTTTGTAAACTTTCTTCTTTTTTTTTTCATTCATTTTAATCAGAAGGCAGCCTCTTAATAGTATAGCCCTCAGATGTCTGCATACATAGTGAAATCCACCAGCTACCACAGGTCAGAGTATAGAAGTTAGGGTCAAAATAAAAGGAGAGACTTCTATATATATCCTGATTTCAAGAATGAAAAACCTGATGGTGTCTTTTGTTCATATTGCTTTAGGCCTTCCAGAGACAAGTGCATGAAAGTCTGACTCAGCTGGAACTGATCAATAAACAATATCGCCGCCTGGCCCGAGAGAATCGCACTGACTCTGACTGCAGCCTCAAGCAGATGGTTCATGAGGGGAACCAGAGATGGGACAACTTACAAAAGCGAGTTGCCTCCATCCTGCGCAGGCTAAAAGTATTTCCGTTTTTAAGCACTTCAGTTTCACTATTATACTTATGAACCAGGGGTACTCTGGAATCTTCCAGTTTAATGCATTCGCACAGTGGTTTTCAGGGAATTTCTACCTTTGGAAGAGGAAGGGAGCTT